TTTAAAAACCTCGCGATTGCTGAGCAAGAAAACGACACATTCATATTCCAATGCCGAGGTTAAGAGAAAGTCGATCTTGGGAACAATAACCGTCATTATTGGTGATAGAGATTTCTTTGCATAGCGCTGCCGTCTTCACAAGCATATCTGTTGTTCATCTCGTTGACAGCTACGAGATCATCTCTAATGTTAAGTGAGTATTTCTTCTTGTTTAGCAAACACGAGGTGTTATTTTATTTCTTTATTTACGCACACGCTGACGTTTCGGCGAATTTCGCCTTCCTCAGGGCCTGGAAAGGTCAACTGACTGCAGTCTATACTGCCAAACACCTTCATAACCAGACAAAGAAAATGCTAAACCAAGATTTCAATCACAATGAACACAGAATTTGCACACTCATATAAGCCTGTTATTCTGATGAGATCGGCACATTACGATTCCGTGTGAACAGTGTGCGGTTGGTCTCCACGCTACATACTCAATGGAAAACTCATAGAAAGCGGTGAGTGCGCAAAGAAGCTATTCTGTGTTCAATGTGATTGAAATCTCAGTTTACCGTTTTCTCTGTTTGGTTATGGAGGCGTTTGGCCAAATAGATTGCTGTCAACTTGACCTTTCCAGGCTCTGAGGAACGCGAAATCCGTTGAAACGTCAGCTTTTGCGTAGATGAAGAAATAAAATAACACTTCGTGTTTGCTAAACAGAAATATGAAGAATTAATCAATCAATGTCGAGGTTAATAGATGGTAGTTAAGTGAGTATTTTCATCACGAACTGCTAATACTTCTTCCATTGTAGGAGCTGTTCTACAGCCCCAAATCTCACCATGTTCTACAGCACCAAACCAGCATGCATGTCGGTCACAGACAAGTCACGTAACCACATGAAAGGATGGAAAACCGAGTAATTCGAATAAACTGCATCTCTGGTACAAAACGTATACTGTGCCACTATACCACTGCGCTATCCGCCCCTTAAAAAAAAAGAATAGCAAAATAATTACAAAACGAATCGAAGGAATTCCAATTTATGATCAGATCTCTGGCACACAACAAAGCATTTGTTTATAATGAACTGTCGTATATAAAGGTGTTGTTCGAGATAAAAATTACGGAAGTATGAGAAGTATTAGCAACTTCTGATTAACGTTTGATGTTGATAAGCATGGAAATAGATGGCTAGAAAAAAATTCTCTTCACCAAGAGTTCAGGAAAGCCGAGATAGAGATATCGAGTCTCAGTTGCACTATGCCATGGACTAGTCCGACTTCTGGAAGGCTTCCAGTTAATCGTACCATGTCGACCTATCCACAACAGACACCGTAGTCAGTCGGGATAACCTGGTCGGATTGTAGTTTTGACCTCCGTTAACCACAAAAAGTTCTTTGCTAGCGCGTAGGGTGAATGAACATACGTCAACAGTTCCAGAACAACATCCCTCAGGCTTATTGCTATCAAATGCACGATTACACAACCTGAGCGAAATTTAAAACATTCGCTACGAATTGAGGAAAAGTCGCAGAAAAAAGTAGAAAAAGAAAAAGCTCTTAAAAGTATTAGGAAGGAAATGAGCTGAAGAACTACCATTCTCAAAAGAGCGAATGTTCGACACGATTCCGATTGCTTTTTTCAGTGACGCAGCAGTGGATCAGCTATGAACTGCTTGAAGGTAAAACAACAGGCTATCCAATATTGATTGCCCCAGGTTTTCTTTGATATATTTTGTATTTGCACGCAAAATTCAAAGATGTTTGGGGGTAACAGATGGCACATAGTGAAATGGAGGAATAATAAAGAAAAATAAAGGATAAAGGAAGAATGACTGTTCTTTTGGTGAAAATCAATAAGTGTTGATGCGTTGCAGAGGAAAAGAAGAAGCTGCCATGGCACAAACACATTCTAGACATCATGAACCTTGTCGTTCGAAAGAGAGGAGCAACCACTTCAGGTGTGAATATTTGAAAAAGAGACATAAAAAAAGGATCCATTGATTTTAGAAAGCAGGAATGATCATGTGCAACAGCAAGTGATGAATGGGTTGAATGAGCTAACAATGAACAGAACCCCAAGCTGTACATATCGAAGGACCTAGTCAAGCTATATGAACGGAATTCGTATTTCCATTCAGCTAGACGTCCATTTGCCAACGAATTTCACTAATCAAACAGTCGGGAATGATCCTAGCGAAGTAACAGCTGCTGCCGTGGCGCAACACTCATCGGGGTCGAGGCTGGGTCAGAGGCTGAAGTCTACCCGGCGTTCACCTATTTTTCCCGCACTCGGAACTTGTCCATTTGGTCCGGAATTCGTCAAGCAGAACTGTTTTGGCAGAACGTCTTCTTAAGTGCGAATTCAGCATAGTAAGGTTACAAATTTGAGACCACAATTTTCCCGAAATAAAAATATGCAGAAAAGAACTATAAAACACAGTGATCACTGATCTGGCACTGTTTACTGATTGCATTGCTAACTGATTGCTGATGGCATTGATCGACAGAACTAGCCGAGAGACAGGTGAAAAGAAGGACCCGCATGGTGTGGTGGTGAATGCGCTAGCCCCCGGAAAGGACAATAGCGCTTTTGTTCTCCACCGCGGGCAACTGTGGTCCGGAGTTTTGCAAATATCTCAGCATCACTGTGGTTGTATTTGGCATCATACTTTGCCGTGAAAACAATTATAGTAGGCTGCAAGTAAAAACTTACCACTGTTTACTGATTTTTTCGACAAGTGAAGAAAACTAGAAGTTTTCGTAGATTTGTTCCAAGTTCAAGCTGAAGCTTTCATAACGAATCTTCTCCAAAGGAAATGCAGTGTGCTTACCTTTCATGAAAGCATGAATTCGAAAACATATGCATGGTTGCTGTAGTTCTAAGACTCTCACTTTCATGAAACAACAGTCGGAAAGATGTGATGTGCTGTTTGAGAAGGTATATAATACTGAGAATGGAAATCACAATCCTAATGTATGATTCAAGTTCTGGCGGTGCCGTTCCAGAAATAAAACTATTAGTACTTCGGAAAAGATTCGAAAGTAAAACACCAGTCAACTTCGTTTACCAACATCAAGTCTGCAGGTTTATTTCTGACCAATCGTGGCTTGAGGGTATTCCTCAGCGTTGGACTGTACATAACGGCACTCAGCGCTTAGCAACTCCACATAGCTGAGGAGTTTGACATTTTCATCCAGGAGACAAGCTAAGGGTAAATTAAGAGTAGGAATAGTCGTAGTCTTGTTGGGAACCAAGACACCAGGTTGTAAACATCAATCCAATGCACAAAGATTGCAATCCTCTGCGGTGATTTCTGAACTCCCAAGCAAGTGTTTCTTTGTTTCTCGACTCTAGAGACATTGTCGTATAAGTACCATTCTAATTAAGTGAGAAATGTACTAAGCCCACATGATTCTTTGCGAGGATGGAAGGTAAAAGAAAGTGACTAGTTCTATAATACTAAGTGGTTTGAAAATGATGGAAATAATGACGTATTTCAATCCGAATTTTTGTAATCGATTGGAATGAAAGCTATTAGAATTAAAACATTTTTGCCAATGAAAAACAAGTGCACTTATATCGGTCGCATCAACCGCTGGATTTCTGAGGACGATTAAGTCGTTGAAGGTATCAGCCTCGGGTTGGTTTCTGAAGCACTTTTTTCACAGGATTTCAAGACGCTTGAAAAAACGATGGCTTGTAGGCAAAAGGTTAGGCAAGTGTGGTGGAGGTAGAGTTTCATGGTAGAGCTGGTTTAAACTTGACAGTGCCGGTAGTATGACTGGCCAATTCGCATAGCTTATATTTGTCGGGCTTTCTGGACTTTCGCATCCTCTTCAGATGCTCCGAAATAGCTGAGATGATAACATTAGCAGAAGGCCATCCACAACCTCTCTCAGGTCGATTTCTTCGCGGCGAAATATTTCAAACTTACGTCACACTACACTGTTCATTTGTTAACATTTCCTTGGTCCCATGAGTCATTAGTACTTCGAGCAGTTTGCGCTGCGTACGACCGAGTATCAATTCATAGCAATTAATTTCTTGAATTTGCTGTCCCAACATTTGGATCTCAAACCATTAAAACTTTTCAGAAATCAAATTTACATTACCATAATGATGCTTAGATATTTACAAACTTCGGACCTCAGTTATCTGTGCTAGCGATCGAACACGCTACTACCCTTTCCGAGGGCTAACGCGTTCACCACTACACCACGCAAGTCTTTCGTTTCACCTGTTTCTCAGCTAGTTCTTTTAAAATTTAATGATTAAGATTTTTAAAAGACAAAATACATTGTATTCCAATTAAACAGTCAGAAAGTCCATAAAATGAGCTTTATATTAGTAGATAGTACAGCATTTAAAAAAAAACCGTTGTTGAATCAGATACGAGAAATATGAAACTACAAATCTGGTATTGACTTGCGAACAAATCAATAAAATATATACAGTAAACCAATAGGTTTATTTATTTATGTGATCTTATAAACAGATCTTCTTAAGCTGACGCGAGGTTGGTACAGATCTTCGTTGTCGTTGTCGTTGTTTTTGATGTTATTGATCGATGGCTGACGTTTCGGCGACTTCGCCTTCCTCAGAGCCTGGACGTATTTAATATTAGAATAGATCGATGGCTGACGTTTCGGCGACTTCGCCTTCCTCAGAGCCTGGACGTACTTTATGTTAGAACACTTTTTATTATTCGGTAGAAAAGAAGGTTAAAGTATTAATGAAGATCAAACTCTCAAATAGACGCCATATTGAACAGAAAGGCCACTCACCGTGATGTTACGTGCGGGACTGACCCACACGTAGTTCACGTGGAGTTGCGAGCAAGACACGCCCGGGGTCAAAATATCATTTTCTGTACCAACCTCGCGTCAGCTTAAGAAGATCAGTTTATAAGATCTCATAAATAAATATATCTCAGCATCATTATAGCTGTTTCACGCATAATACACTGCTGGTGCGAATTGTAGAACGCATTAAATAAAAAGCTAAAATCAGCAGCGGTAAGAATCCTGCATCATAAAGCAAACGAAGAACCTTTCTAGTANAAAACCGTTGTTGAATCAGATACGAGAAATATGAAACTACAAATCTGGTATTGACTTGCGAACAAATCAATAAAATATATACAGTAAACCAATAGGTTTATTTATTTATGTGATCTTATAAACAGATCTTCTTAAGCTGACGCGAGGTTGGTACAGATCTTCGTTGTCGTTGTCGTTGTTTTTGATGTTATTGATCGATGGCTGACGTTTCGGCGACTTCGCCTTCCTCAGAGCCTGGACGTACTTTATGTTAGAACACTTTTTATTATTCGGTAGAAAAGAAGGTTAAAGTATTAATGAAGATCAAACTCTCAAATAGACGCCATATTGAACAGAAAGGCCACTCACCGTGATGTTACGTGCGGGACTGGCCCACACGTAGCTCACGCGAGCAAGACACGCCCCAGGGTCAAAATATCATTTTGAAATAGGGCGCCAGGTCACGCGTGATAGTGAGGCATTCGTCCTTCCGGTTCATCTTTGCATTTTTGAAATTTATCCAGAACGCCTCAAGAGTTTTGCGCGTTGAATGTTTTTGATTCCTGCGCTAGGATCCGCACATTCACTTCGAAATCATCGCCGTTGTGCTTTTGTGCCCTATGCGTACCTAGAGGTGTTTAAATGGATTTTTGCTTTTCCATCTAGATGCACGTAACATCACGGTGAGTGGCCTTTCTGTTCAATATGGCGTCTATTTGAAAGTTTGATCTTCATTAACACTTTAACCTTCTTTTCCACCGAATAATAAAAAGTATTCTAACGTAAAATACGTCCAGGCTCTGAGGAAGGCGAAGTCGCCGAAACGTTAGCCATCAATCAATAACATAAAAACAACGACAACGACAACCAAGATCTGTACCAACCACGCGTCAGCTTAAGAAGATCAGTTTATAAGATCACATAAATAAATATATCAACTACCTATGCCGAGGTTTATAGAAAGTCGGTCTTTCGAGTTATCAATAGGTTTATATTACGAACTACTCCATAGAAACGCTAGTGATGGCTCCTACTCATAGATGAAAACTTAAAGAACCCTAAAAATATACGCGGTGAGTTGGCTAAGAACGAGTGTGGGCGAAGACTGACGGAATTTAACAGCTGACAGAGGAAAGTGAATGCTCTCTCAAACATTTGCAGTTTTCATTGCTGGTTTTCTCCGAAGACACCTGCTCTGACTCTGGCCATCTCAATTCAGAAAGGTGATATACAACTTGCATTTGTATGTATTTATATGACCCCACGCCAAATAACAGGCTGACGCTTCTCTCACTCGAATCGATATCTCACATCCGTCACTAACGACACTCGTAGAACTATTTTGAGTGCGGGTTCAGCTGACTGTTGACGATTTGCGTCTTAACCATGGATGTCGTTGTAGGTTGATCGAGGTACTTCAGTCTGGAAACCTGGAATACCTCTCGATCCTAGGTTTCCAGTACTGGCAGTCGTCGGCCTTTGCGGATCAGAGGGAGCTTCCTCAAATAGCTTCAGCACCAGTGTCCTGATCTCCGAAGAATAGGAAACTTTGTGGTTAGCCCAGAACGAGGTCTAATCAACGACCAACCGTGCACTGACGGCATCCATAACCACTGTAGTTCAGTTGTCCCTATCTCACTTCGTGAGGAATACTAAGCAGAATTTACGGGACCAAAATTATTTCTGTGAAGAGTCATGCCATTCGGGTTTTCCTCCTGAATATGTTACACAATATCTTCTTCGCCAATGATTCCGTCGAGTAGCTTCAAATCAGAAACTATGACGTTAAATTACCAGTTAGGCCTACATGCATTTCACTAAATTATGCAGCGTAGATTATGTTATGCACCAGCTGACGTGGGTGAGGACTAGCAATACTACTAAATAAAACACAGTATGAGCCAGATTTGATATGTGGCCGGAAATAATTCGGCTTCCCAACTGTAAGCTTCTCAGCTCATAGCGACCTTTATTATTCATCAATTCAAGTAAAAGCCATTGAAATCTAAGTATTTCTACGAAAAGACACAAGTTTTCTTACGCTGCACGAAGCGGTTCTGATTTTTTGTCACCCTCAGACTTTCCTAATCGTAACCAGAACTCCTATTCCAATCAACGCAAAGCAATTGAGCAGGTTAGAATTCTTCCAGAAAAACGCGACGATGTTATCCAAGGTGTTCTATTGTGGGAGGCCGCGTTTGTTTTCAAGGTTTTAAAAACTTGGGTTAGGAACTCAATTTTCAAATATAAAGCGAATTTAAAAATAAAATAACACACTCTCTCAAGTATTTCTCGCTGTCGAGAATTTATCGAGACAACAAACAAAGATGACACGGGTTTTCAAACGACCAACAAGCTTTGTCATTTTGGATAATACAAGAGTTAGTTCGAGATCCGGTAGGTGAGAATGGAAGGAGGTGACAAACGTTCAGCTTGCATCATGAAAACGTGTTTAAAGTCCCGTCTCTTCTTAAAAGGACAAGAGAATGAACGACTGAGTAAATAACTGAAGACAACTTCAGGCGCAAGCATTAAAATACTCCCTACTCTTATTAATAAATAGTTATTAACAAGATGCATTGATAATACAAAAGCATAAGATTTTAGTTAACACTGTTATTACCTAAGCCAATGAGTTGTGAAAAGAAAGATTAATTGGGAAGCCAAAATGATGATCGAAGGGCAACGGCGAGCTACACGCATCGTCAGAATGCAAACAGCAGTACTAGGGGCGTGGGTACATCCAAGCGAGCGATGTGGGTCGCAGGGTCAACGCACGGGTCGCAGGGTCCAGACTCCAAGCAATGTGCCGTGCCGGGTAGCGTGCTTGGTGGCATGCTCGATGCTTAAGGGGTATGAATGTAGGACAGGCACGCACACGTTGTGTCAAGTGTTTTATGATACAATGGTATACAAGAGGAATAATAAATACGACTGCGTGATTTATACAAGAGATGTTAAAGTGAAGACACACCGGCCCGACTTATTCAGAGGCTTAGGTTGAAAATTTTCTTAAGGCATGCGAGTAATGGAACATGCAAGAATTTAGGAGGTAACAGAAAACATAACGACAAAAGGTGGATGAAACATAAGATGATGCGAAGTGGAAGACATTATGCGATTTTTTGCGTGGTCCATTGTATTTACATTGGTCGATTTATCGCCATTCTTTGAACAATAGGTTGAACACGAAGGACCAACTTGATGATGCTTGAAACGATTACTGATGCGCTGCTTGCTAAGGATTTCACGAAGTGTAGCTTTTGTGGCAGCAAACGCTGATCTTGCACACCTCTCCGGCCACCGGGATGCTCTAGTGCATTCGTCTGCATCCGTTCATTTGTGACTAAATCTCAGCGACATATGGGTGAGTGAAGTTTTCTCGATGTTTCTTCATGAGTATCGCAATTTTTCTCAACAGTACCATTTAACGCAACTCAATGGAATCTTACTTTTTCTCAAATTTTACCTGCCCAACCATATCTGTTGTGCGGATCTCAGCACCCCTTTCATTCGATTCGTTTCCTCGCCTCCATCATCCACTAAACTCTTCCTCGTTTCTATACGCAAAACCAGAGTGGTGCTAACTGACGTAAATCAAGTCAGTGAATTCTGCCTTCAGAATCTAACAGCAGTCTATGGCATGTACTTGTAATGCATGTTGCGATAACATATATATTATGTATCAGGGCGCTTGTGGCGCAGTAATCGGGGGCGACTTGCAACACACACGTGGAATCGATTCCCGCGCCCATGGCCCACCAAGCCTTCCATCTCTCCGGGGTCGGCAATTTGGTACCAGATTTGCCTAGGAGGATGGCAACACTGGCTTGATACGTCAGTAGGCCACCACGAGTAATTATAAAGGCCAGATATGCATTCAACCACTTCCAAACGAAACTTAATGAAGTCGAATGCATGGCGCATCCCTCAGAGATTGACCAACGCCGAAAACTTTATCCTTTATTTTTAAATAAAAATTGGCGTTGTTTTACTAATGCAATCACTTGTCACCTGCCAACTGTCGTGCCCTTGATCGTTAGCTGACTCGAGCGGGCACCTGTAAACTTTTCATTCAGACCTATCGCTTCCAAGAGTAGCCACTTGGGTTCTGCTCGCTCTAGGAACTCGTTGAAGAGCACATCTTTCTTCTAGGATTTTCGCGAAGAACGTTGACAATTGAGTCAGTGGTCTTATTGCAGTCCGTCTGACACTCTGAAAAATCTAGTCACTAGCGGCTCTTCTCTATTGGTTGTCGTTTATAGGCATTACATGTCGGCCCCATCTTATCCTCGACATTATGGCGATTAGAAAGACTCCTTTGATTTTAATCGTTGACGCAAATCGAAGCTTTTGGCCCCGTCTCTCACTTGTGTGACACGGCAGACTGCTAGCTTCGTTCTTTCCAGCTCGTGTTCAATAACGCTGAGTGATTTTAACTCTACTTAAGCAGCGAACAAGTTTCTGATGCATACGTTAGGGCAGGAGGGATTCTGGAGTTCACAAGGTGTGTCAGGTGTTCTTTGTTCTCTTCACTACAACCTCGGTGCTCTGGAAAGTTCACTAAGCCTTTCGTTTCCTTCTGCTCAACTTTAGTGCTAAGTTTTTCATCATGTTGTTTTCCCATCGTCGCTGGAGCATTCCGGAGATATTCATTCCGTTGAGTGTTGGTGGTGGATGCGAAACCAAACCGTTCCTTATGGCCATCGCTTTTGTAGGACTTTTAATTTCTGTTCCATTTCTGTACTTTCACGATGTCCTGGAGAATAGTAGTTTTGGCGAGATACTGTCGTCTTGTCTAACCCCTCTTTTGACGTCAATGTTAACATCGTTGTAGAATAGTGATATCCTGGTTGTGAAGTTTTTGTACAGCTCACGAGGAATCTTCATGTATTGAGTCCCTACTCACTCCTTGGCTATCAAGGGCTTCCATCGATGCTTTTATCTCAGTTGAGTCAGAGACCTTCTGTAATTCGATGAAAGTGGGACAGAGCGGTCTTTTGTACTCTCGCGATACTTCAGTGAGCCTTGTTATCGTGTGGATGTGGTCCATCATACTAAATCCTTTTCGAAACACTGCTTGCTCACATGGCTATCCTTCGTCACTGTTATTTCAATCCTATTTAAGATGACTCGGCTGAGGAGTTTACAGATGAGAAACAACAAGCATATCAAACTATAATTGCCGATTTCGTGGAGATCACCATTCTTGAACAATAATACATTCTTGCTGATCTTTTATTAAACAGGAACCGTACATTCATCCTGCCAATGAACGTGTGAAGAGTCGAGCTTGTGTGTTTATGAGAGCTGGCGGAAGGTTCTTCAGGTGCTTAGGTGTTATCCTGTTCAGACCGGGCGTGTTGGTTCACGAAAGAGCATGTCGGATTTCGGAAGTGAAACCCGTGGGACGATACATGTGGTCTCCTTTCTTCCATATGAGGGCAGGAGGACGTGGCTATTGAAAAGATCTGAAAAGTTTTCGTGAATAATTTTCTGCACTGTCTTTCTGAAAGCTGTAACCGTTTCGCCTGGACGTCGCAGTGCAATCGTCTTGATCCTTTAATTGACGAAGTTGCGGTGGACTTCGCGAATGCTTTCCCAGCCTCTGCAGCTTTGACCGTAACTACGGTTGTTTTCTCTTCAAGACCCTTTTATCCCCTGTTTTCATTGTTTCGCAAGTTCCAATGTGAGTCGGCGCTTGCCTGTGGCTCGTATGAATCGAGCTGGCATATCAGCACGAGTGTCTCGGTAAATAGACGTCGACATCTTTTAATGACTTTCAAACTCTCAACTTTCATAGCGCTAACGTGAAGATGTTGAATGATCCGACCGTATTCCTCATCAATGTTGTCAATAACAGCATCTTCACAAGAGTCGACTAATAAACTGAATAAATCACAGACTATAGTAGTTTTGGGACATTGTTTATGGCGATGGTCATATCCTGTTTAGAATTTTTGGGCAGCAACGGCGGTTAGACAAAACGTTCCATTTACTATGATGTGTCTATTTCGTTATGGCACTATCTATTAGGAGATTCCCACGTCTAGCCTTGAGAGCAGGTCTTCCGTAGTTGTAATCTGCCATGAACGATCTTGGTCGACATGATAAACTCAGATAACCGCTCACCCTGTTCGTTCCATTCTAACGGTCGCTCTTAGTGTGGCGTTCCTCAGCAGATGTTCTTCAGACCCTCCAGTCTTAATGCTTAAATCTCCACTGATGACCTTAAAGTACGGATGTTCTTCTCTGTTGAACATCTTCAAGTTCACAGAGAATGATTCGACTTCGTCTTAGTCATAGTTTGTTGTTGGTGCGTAGATGACGAAGACTGTTAAAGGCGATGTGGATTCACATCTCTCCAATCGTAAACGTCCGATTCGGGTTGTTAGTTATTCGAATGAATCGATGTTCATGGAGCCAAATTCGTGTTAACGAGAACGCCGACGCCGCCGACTCTTCTACTGTTGCGTGTTTCGGCGAACAGTTCTTCTCCAGTGTCATAGTCGGCGTTGAAAAGGTAGTGTCTTTTTGTCTGAGTCAGTCCGATGAAGTCGTACGTTATCCTTTTTCTTGCATGATCAAGTCACTATGGAGGTCTTTACTAGTTCCTCACAAATACTTCTCCTGTGGGATCAAAAGCGACTTTGTTCTACATTAATACGCGTTTGAATCCTCGGCTAGGACTCCCTGGGCCTATTTTACACATAGTTTCTAAGTTGCGAATGCGTATTCATACATGTGTTCCCGTTTATGCGGTTCTAGGAGTCGATTCAAGCAAAAACTTGCAACCAAGGAAGTGGAAAGTTTATGAGAGTCGGTCTGGAAGAGATTGTCAAGCTTCCCGGGAATATAACCAGTCCCATTTTCAGCTCCCAGCAAACTCTACGTGTGTATTAAATGTTAAATGCAACAAAATGAGTGGGCCTCATTCCCTTGACCCCGAAAGAGCCCACGAGATGACAGCGCTGCCCAAGACGAGTACGGAGAGGCTGCTAAAATCTGACAACCATTTTAGGTTATCTAAATGTTGATGGTCTAAGCTGACCATCTATACCTGCAATCCACGCCCACTTGCACCTGAGTTATGTAGTATCTGAAATAGTCTACCATAATACAGGCTTTTCGACTTGAACTCTTTTCTTGTTGATTCAAATGTTCTGTGGACTATCTGAGAATTTTTATATACCACTATACTCTGAAACAGCCATAACAGCAGGCAAAGGTTAGGATTTAAGGGATGGTTGAAAAATAGCTCCCTATTTTAAAATACTTGCACGTTACTTTTCAAGTCGGCTTTCATGAATGTCCGTTTGGGAGATATTCACTCGCTCTGCGCCAGCCAACGTAATACCGACTGCCGCAGGATGCAAAGCCGCCAAAAATGCGGATCATATCGATGGCGGTCGAACAATATCCGTCCTGCATAGAATACTTCAGACTAAAGGTCCTTCATTCGAGCGGTGCTCCTTCTACCGGATTCGGCACGATAGGACCAACCAACTGTGGACCATCGACTTGGGTCAACAGGACTCTGAGGAAGGCGAAGGGGTCGAAACGTTACCCGAATAAATCTTTTTATCAACCTCGTGTTTGCTTAGTAAACAAAGAAGCTACTTGTAGTTTATTTATATGTTGTAATTATTTCTCAGATATTCTGTTCGTGTTCCTTAATGCATGGGAATTAAATCTATCTTGTTTTTCTCTTCAGATCGATTAATCTAGTTGAAATTGGAAGCTCGAGAAACATGGTTGGATGTCCCGTACTCTGTAAGAGTGTCCCCGGTTAGCGACACAGTATAAAGTTTGGAAATTCGTGGTTCAAGTGCAAAGATGATGGAGGACCATTAAAGGAAGATTCCCATGAAAACTCACAGCTACAATATCTGTAACAGACATCCGAAGAGGCGGTCGGCCATGTTATACAATAATGTTACATGTTACATTATACTTCCACGTGATTTCTGTGCGGTTGGTCTCTACGTGACATACTTAGTGGAAACCTCATAGGAAGCGGCTCTGAGGAAGGCGAAATCCGCCGAAACGTCAGCTTAATCGTGAACAAAGAATAGTAACACCTCGCGTTTGCTCAGCATGCATTTACTTCCATAAAAACACAATACAATACAACGCTAGCTGACGTTTCGGCAGTATCGCCTTCTTCAGAGCCTGGAAGGGTATGCTGATATACAATCTACTAGGCCAAACGCTTCAATAACACTTACAAAAAGACGAAAGACTCTCTGGTAATTACACGATCAACAACTTCTCGAAAAACCCACCGCTTTTTTCGTGACTTCCAATGAGGAAGTTTAGAACAGCTGATTAT